GTGATAGGTTTTATTCGATTACTTGCAAAAGTGTGAAATAAAATTACATCGCTTACGATTGGAAACATGTTTTTACACTTACTTTTAACATTCGTATATTTTTGTAATAATAAATGAATAATATATTGAAAGCTAAAATGAAAACGAAAGTTTGCACCAATGGTAATACTACTAATCTCGTGACAATTATAGCACAGTAACTTCTATCTAGGGTGTTCTAATAATTGCGGAGTAATCAAGAGTGGATTCAACGTAAAAGAATACATAAGTCGAAAATGTATGTTTGAATAAAACAAATTTTCAAATCCAATTAACTCGAAAATGAAGTTTATTATGCAAAAAAAATCTTATTCTACATCCTTGATTTAGTTTTCCAACTTAAAAAAACACAAGACTCCAATCCTGTATATCGAGCGATAGAAATTGTTCGAGTATTGATTTCATTATTTTTTGCAAATTTATAATCAAATTCGTTTAAAATTTTATGCAAGCTTTCCATATGTATTGACCATTGATTCCATAATAAATTCATTAAAATCTGACCTCTTCCGGTTGTTCTGTTATAAGACTGTGTACTTGTCTGACGTTATATTTTTCTTTCAAAATAAATTTCTACCGGTGCGACGTAATTACTTAATATTTTCCCGACTAAAGCGTCAAAGAAAGATATTTGAAATACGGATATTTCTCGAGATATTTCTGCCAGTTTCAACCGGTGACTCTTTTATCACCTGTAAAACTTATTTATCATTGATCGTAAAGTACGATAGCTTTACCGAGTTTCTTTGCGTCCCTTTCAATGGCTCCAGCGAATAAAACACGAAGCTGCTAGTGAAATGAATGCACCGTTCATTCTAATAATTAATCAGAACGCGACCGAACACGGTAGCTTGTAAGACTGTTAAATCCACAAGCTCAAAAAACCCGCGAAATCCGTAAAGATTCGCAAACTCGGAGAAAAATTAATGTCGTTTCGTGGTACCTCGTAGCCTTGTTACGTACGTCAATTGTACAGAGAAAAGGGAAAGCAGTGGCATACTCGGACCGAGGTCTTTAATGAGGAACGAATCCAATTGCAAAATATGCATAATGTAGGAGATTTCTATTGAATGTTTGTGCCACGCTGCAGTTTTGTTGAATGTTAATTTATGTGCAAAAGGGTTGAAACTGTGTTGTTCGAGAAAGAATGGAGCAAGAAGGAGTATGAAACGAGTGATTGTGAAAGACAGACGTGATTGTAATTTGTAATTTTATATATATTATAATATAATATTGTAATTGTTGGCGCAGTGAGTAAAAACAAACACACCAGGATTAAAAGAGATAATATATTTAGTATAAACACATTGTAGGAACAATATGTTAGTAATAATCAACATTAATAAGGTCAAAGTATTATCATTATAACATACGCGGCGCATACAGCTACCAAGCTGAGACGATAAGGGCGCCGCCCAGCGGTGGGACTCAATAACACGCGTTTTCTTTGTTTGCTTCACGCGCGCGAATTATAACTAGTCTACAGTAATTTACGGTACAAATTTTTTTCTCGAAAGTGCATAGGAATTTGGGGGTATGTCTATTCATCATAAATGCTTGTAATTGACCCTTATAACTAAATATAATTTCTTTAGTATGATTTGAAATTTTTTAATTTCGTCTAAAAATTTCAGTATCTACTCGAATTTTGTTCTCGAAGTGAGTAGGATTTCAGGGGTATATGTATTCGCAAAAAATGATTGTAATTGACCCCAGCAACCAAAAATAATTTGAAATTTGTGATGAGATTTTGTAATTTAGGTTTTTAATAACTTTTTAACGAAACCTCCATCAAGAAATTGATATTCTTGATTTTCGTCTTATTCTGGCCTTTAGAATCTCTCATTAACATTTTTCCCAGGGGTGGTCGAACACCCTGTATGTATGTAATATTATATTACAATAACAATTAAAATTAGAATATAGGTGTTGATTTGATGAACACAGTATGGATGAATGAGAGTATAACTATGTTAAAAACTATTATTCTATATTTTCAGTTTATTTTTGTATGTGCATTAACCGCCTTTTCAATTGTACTACTGGATCGGAAATACTCTGTATATTGTAGAAATTCTACAAAATAAATGAACTTCATCGTATGATGACGAAATTGATCTTACAATTATGTAAATGTGTAGGTATAGGTAGTATAGGTCGAATCAACAGTCAATACAGAAAGATAACAATATCTAAATTGCGAATTCCAACGAAATAATTAAACTAATTATATATTATAATACATCGCTGAATTCACCATAAATAGACGCTTTTATTGATTAAAAAAAGCGAAAGTTTTTCGAAGAACAGGGGGAGGGGGAATTCAATTTTGCAAAAAAAATGATTTTTTCAAAAAAATTTACACGCAACTTTATAGACCTCAGGGAACGGTATAACTTCTATTTCAATTATTTTTTGATATCTTTTGTTGTTTGCGACTTATAAGCACGTACATAGAAAGGGCGGTTGGGTTAAAAGGGTTGATATCTCTCTCAAAGTGCAAAACGGGCACGAACGAATTACACTTGTCTTATTAGATAGGTCTAATAAATGTTCATGCAAAGTTTCATCAAAATCGTAGTGTATCAGTTCGTGATGTTCCCTTGTGAGTGAGAGTCACTGGGACCGACCTATCGTGTGCAAGTAGCTGTACGCAGGTTGCCTACCTACAGGCGCAACTTTAAACGTTAATAACTTTTTAACGAATCCTCAATCAACAAATTTTATATTCTTGATTTTAAACACTTATTCTTGAACACCCTGCATAAAGATAGAGTTACCGATCACATGGGTTAGGTGGCTGGTCACCCTGACGGAAAGTTGGTCGAGTGCTTGCGAGAGAAATGGCGGCGAGTACAGGAGTACAATATCTACAACGTGTATTTTTCCAGCGTGTGGAAATAAAATCGGGCGAGAGAAATTAAAATCAATAGTTCGACCGACTGGAAATCCTCTTCCACAGCACATTGCTGTGCTGTTTGTTACACCTCGAAGTTTCAAAGTTTTATAACTTTGTTAAAATTCACCAAAAACCGTTACGATAGAAACTTCTTAAGATCCTTCGAATTTACTTCCATCTTAACACGTGCACTGCCAAATCAAAACCGTATAATATTCTGGAAAAGTAAAATTTTTATTTTAGGTTATTGTAGACTACATAACCTAAAATTTGTTTGAGTTCTTACTTTCGCAATCTAGTTAAAATTCACATATTCTATTCAAATTTATTTCCCTCAACGTCTTAACTTGAGAATGAATTTTTCTAGTATCATAATGGTAAATCCTGTCACCCATACATGGGTGACATGGCAGTCAAAGTGTTAAATGATTTTTTGTTGAGAATTTATGGGATCGATCTTGAGAAGCCACGTACCAGTTGATATATATATAAATATATTTATTTGAATACAGTTAACTAACTTGAATACTTAATCGCTAACATCTGCACAACGATCCACGTACGATTCGCCAAACCCACCGGAAACCACATCAGTGCCTCTCAGATCCAACTACTCACAAAGGCGTGTGAATACTGTCTACATTTCGGCGGGAAATTCTATATTTTTCAATTGATTAATTTGCAAAATAATCACAGTACACTTGAGTTACGACACTGAGAGACAGGTATAATGGTCAATTGACTGTCTTTCTTACTGCTCCACACAAGTATTCGAAAAATTATATACATTAATGAATTCCTCTCAATTAGTACTTTTTCATTTTCATTTTTGTTTTGTTAATATCTATTTCTCATCTTCAGTTCGATTATTAGATTAGTACATGATATTGTGAATAATAAACAAGATACAGAAAATATATGCAATTATTTAATATAGTTCACGACATTTGTTTAATGCTGAACATATAAATTAATTACACTTATGCAATAGTAGTTATAATAACTCTGCAACGCGATAAATACGATAAAAGGCATATCTCGTCTATGATATGACACTGTTCACATGAACGTTTAGGAAACCCCTAACAGTTCATTACATAGTAAGGAAGAAAGAATACGTTAGTAGTTAAGTAAATAAAGAATGCGTAATATAAACTGGAAGTCATCCTGTGGCACGCTTATGGCCGCATAATGGCGCTGTACGTTGGAGTACTATGGCAGACTCTATGCCAAATTAAACTAATATGTCAATTAAATATTTTATTAACAAATAAGTTTACATGTTTGTTCATTAAGAACCAAAGATAGAATGAATGAATTCTTTGTTTTTCAAAATAACAAATATCGAATAAGACAGATGAAACAAATAAGGAATCTTCTTAATCCATAGAAACTAGAAAATCTTCAACTCCAGCGAGCTTCCATAGATGATACCCTAATCGCTGTTTTGATGGGCACCACAGTACTGGTCGACCGTACGGGAACCCCCAAATAAAGCTCGCCAGTGCTTGTGTATTACTATCGAAACAGTTTTATAAAACATCTCTTCTTCGCTACCCTTGCAATGTCGCTGTATGGTTTATTGAACCTGAATAAATTACATTTTATATTACAATCGGACCACACATCCTAATCCTATTAGACAAGAATTAAAATAAATAATAATAATAGCGAGGTTAATTGATTTTTCAAATGTTTCAATAGATGAAGTTTACACAAAAAATCCTGGGACATAGATTAGTTTTAACTAAAATTTGAGTTTCGCGTTGTCCCTTCATCTTTAATCAAACTACCTTAATTTTCTACGTACGATTTGAACTGTGTCAAGCAGTCTGAATTCAGCAATTGCTACCCAACATGTCTTCGCGGTCTATGAGCAAAGTTAGCTTCGCATAGGACCGTTTGCCCACACCCGAAATCGCTATACCGAATTAAACGAGCAAATAGCCCATGAATTAGTGTACCTAACGTGGCATGTTTGATTTCAGTATGCCACTTGCTGCGCAGCGGAGTCGCGGCGATTTTTGGCCCGCAGAGTGCTCACACCGCCTCGCATGTGCAAAGCATTTGCGACACCATGGAGATTCCGCATCTGGAAACGCGTTGGGACTATCGGCTTAGACGGCAGAGCTGCCTCGTCAACCTTTATCCGCATCCCACCACACTCTCCAAGGTACGTAGACATTTTGGGTAGTATACTACGTAGACACTAGGAATAATCCCCTCATCGGTGTCATCGGCTGCCGAAAATCGGCTTCCACGTTCTCCGGTTTCCTCTCCGCGTTTCTATTCTCTAATCGAGTTCGTTCCGCGACTGTAGAAAATAGGGACGAGTTCGAGCAAGTCTTCGAGAACAATTCTCAACTCCGACGCGACAATTTATTCACACGATTCGCACACTTGCTCTTTCTTCGTTGCTGTGCTGCTCGGCGAACGATGAATTTGTACCCGTAGATCGAGCGCCATTCTACCAATGTGAATTGGGTATATGAACATTTTTCTTTATGTTTGAAATATTCATTCTCAATTTAATTAACACTAGATTTACAGGCATTGTTCGCACATACATATATTTATTGATACCTTTCATGTTGACGATTACCTTACAATACGATTTTTTTTTAATTAGAATATGTGAGCCGTTTATTTTGAAAGTGGCCTAACTCCATTTTCCAATTTTTTCCGGTTACCATGGTTACATGTACAACTTCATGATATTTATCAGTAAAGCATTTCAGGTTGCTTATATTCCGAGTAAATACGATAATTCTTGACACATAAGTTTTCAGAGTTAGTTCAATAATTGAACCGTGTAGTTTGAAAGTGGCCTAACTCCATTTATACTTAAATCAAGATATTTAATGTTTACATGTACGTTTGGGATGAAACTATTGCATCCAGAGGTGCTCAAGAAATTGTTTCATGCATCCTAAAACATGTTAAAAATTTAAGAAGTGAAAGACACATTATAGCTTACTGTGATATGTGCGCCGGGCAAAATAGAAACATTAAAGTGGCTTTAATGTGGTTAAAAATTGTCCAAACTTTGGAAAATAATGTGGAAATCATAGATCAGAAATTTTTAATATCAGGACATTCGTTTTTACCAAATGATAGAGATTTTCGCGTGGTAGAAATGTCATTAAAAAAAAATAATTTACTGTTCGTTCCCCGAGATTATTACAAGATTATTAAAAAGTGTCGGAAAGGTAATAATTTTATTGTAAATGAAATGAGACAAGAAGATTTTGTATCAACAAAATTATTCGAAGACGCAATTTTTAAAAGGGTAAAGAATTCTGACGGAGAATCAATAAACTGGTTAAAAATATGTTGGATGCGTTTTGTCAGAAATGAACCGTATAAAATTTTCTATAAGACATCAATGAATGAGAATGAAAATTTTAAAGTCCTGAATTTATTACCACGTCGGAGTAGACCAAGAAAGTTCGAAAATATTGTATTGACACCATTGTATAAAAATATCAGACAAATTACAACAGCAAAATTCAAGGACATAACTGACCTATTACGATATATACCACCGGAACATCATGATTTCTTCAAATCCCTTTCACACGCACAAAATGTAGATGAGTAGTAAATTGTTTTGTAATAAATTTATGTTTGTAATTTTGTACGTTATGTAGTTAAAAAATGTTTTGAATGGCATAAATTATGTTTCCAAAGTGTTTTAAAGATATGTAAAATAAATTCAGTATTGTTTTTTTCAATTTGAAGCATCTTAAATTATGTTGAATGGACTTGGGCACCTTCAAATTTTATAATGAATCTGGTTGTTAATTTTGAAAGTGGCCTAACTCCATTCTTCATAAGAAAACGCATATTATTCACTTAATAATTGCCACTATTTTAATAGGAACTATAAATTTAACACCCTTAGATACACTTAAGCAGTATGACTCATTAGTATCCTATACGTATATTTTTAAATTCATTGAAACGCAAACCTTTAAATATCTCGATTTGAAGATAAATGGACTTAGGCCACTTTCAAAATAAACGGCTAATGTATTCATGCCATTGCATCAATCAAATTCAACATCAGTTGTTAAAAAATAATATTTACGCGTTCTGCAATTTTAAATGTGGAATCAAACATCCGTGAAATTGAAGGCTTCCGTAAATCTAGTGTTAATAATGATTTGAAACACTACATTTTTAAGACTTTCGTTACCACGACGTTCATATGTGAGCAACAGTATTTTTTTTAATTTTAATAGTGGAAGGTTAAGAGAAGGAGAACAATTTTGGAAAAACAAAGAGTTTGTTCCTATAATGAAGGACTTCCTTTCCTTCGATTTTTATAGTAAAAAACTTAGTTTTTTAGAATTTGTAAATTCAGAAATCCATACAAACAGGAAGAGAATAGAAAATCAGCATTTCGAATTTATATATAGAAAATAAAATTTTAGATATATATTAGGCACATATCATTTATCCATATTTTAAAATATACTAAATAAGATTAAAAAGATAAAAAGTAATATAGAGGGTGTTCGGCCATCCATGGGAAAAATTTTAATGGAAGATTCTAGGAGCCAAAATAAAACGAAAATCAAGAATACCAATTTCTTTATTGAGGCTTCTTTAAAAAGTTATTAACGTTTAAAGTTGCGCCCGTACAGAATTTTTTTCTAGGAAGTGGGTAGAATTTCGGAGGTAGGTCTATTCACCAAAAATTATTATAATTGACCCCCGCAATCGAAAATAATTTTTCCAGAACGATTTGAAATTTTTTAATTTTATCGAAAAATTTGTCCATCTTCCTGAATTGTTTTCTCGAAAATGCGTAGGATTTCGAGTGTATGTCTAATGACCAAAATTGATTATAATTGACCCCCGCAATTGAAAATAATTTTTCCAAAATGATTTGAAATTTTTTTCTTTTGTCGAAAAATTTAGGCATCTACCCCCTGTCGATTTTTCTTAAAAATTTGTTTGGCACTCTACAGAAAAGTTGGCTAATACTTTTTTGTAAGTACCCATGGGCTATGCTTCAGAAAAAAATTTCAATCAGATACCTTTACTATTGAAGGAGTTATGGCCGCTTGAAAATTTGACCAGTTTTATGGGGTATTTCTCATTTTACGGTGTCCAGGAACAACTTTTTCAATATTGTTAGCATTTCTACATATTCTCCACTAAAATACGCGTTGTTTGCATTTTGGAAAATTAAAATCCTCCAATCCATTTAGGAGTTATGATATTTTAAAGGATTTCTGGCCTCACATTAGATTTTCGGTATTGAATTTTTTTCTCGAAAGTGCGTAGGAATTCGGGGTATGTCTATTCACCTAAAATGCGTGTAATTGATCCCTGTAACTAAATATAATTTTTTTAGTATTATTTGAAATTTTTTAATTTCGTCTAAAAATCTTAGTACCTATTCGAATTTTTTTCTCGAACGTGGTTAAGATTTCAGGGGTATGTGTACTCACAAAAAATAATTGTAATTGAGCCCCACAACCAAAAATAATTTTTTCAGAATGATTTGAAATTTTTTAACTTAATTTTTTAATAACTTTTTAATGAAGCCTAAGTCAAGAAATTGATATTCTTGATTTTCGTGTTATTTTGACCTCTAGAATCTCCCATTAAAATTTTTCTCAGGAATGGCCAAACACCCTGTATGTTGTACTTTCTTATGTTACGGGGAAAGATTCGGAAGTCCTACTTGTGTCTTCAAGATGTACGTATAATTGTGTCTAAAGCTTAGTATGTGTGTATAGCCTGGTTCGAGGATACGGACTCTCAAAAAGGTTATTTTGGATGTGGTTCTGATTTTGTTATGTTTAAAAACTTGTTCAATCGCATCATGGATCGTTGGCTAGACATTAGAGAGTACCATCCGCTGAGATGGAGTAATTAGTAGTTTCACTTTCACAGTGTTGTTTTTTATTGTAGTATAGCTGTCACTGTTTTCTATCTTGGTGATGGTGTCTTTGGAATCCAGATAAATGGAAACTCTATTATTCGAAATTCTTGGAATGAAGCAGATAGAAGCGGGACTGATAATTTTTTCAAGTGCATTTGAGTAATCATTAACTGAAGTTCCCTCTATTGAATCCATTGTTATAGCTTGGCTCATTTTTAGAAAGTTTTCGTTGGTGCCGTTAAGGCGTATGTGTTTCGATTTGATTAAATTGGTGCAGTTGAGTTTTCTGGTTCTATATTCATTTGAGGACCTTTTGTGACGTCGTGATCCATGTACTCAGAAGTCATTGGTTGTTTTAAAACTTGAGTGCTCGTGTACTGAGAGTGCACAAGCTCACACTAATTTGCATCTGTCACTCTCACACTTTCAGTTTCACTCAGACACTCGCGACAACTTGTAAATACTGTTCTGAAAAGACTGTTCTTATACAAATTTTGTCACTTTTTTGTGCTTTAAATTATAATACTTCGTTTATAACAAAAATCGAATGACTTTTTAAAATTCTATACTGAGTGTCTTAGATATATAAATCAACAATATTTGCCAAATTGTTTGGGATGTCATTCAGAGCAACAAATATTATATTCACTAGGTATGTGTCAATGATCTTTGGTTTTGTTAACAGAAATACATTCGTATATGAAATGCACTTCGCCCTGAATATTGGTTTTCGACTTTTTATTTTTAATTTAATAACATTTAATTATTTAATAATGTAGGAGATTTGTGTTGAATATTTGTGCCACGCTGTAGTTTCGTTCAATGTTAATTTATGTGCAAAAGGGTTGAAAGTGTTTTGTTGAAGAAAGAATGGGTTACTAGGGACAGCGAGACAACAGGGAGTGAGAAACGAGTCATTGTGAAAGACGGACGTGATTATAATTTGTGTTGTCAATTAATGTGATTTTAATTTGTGTTGCTAATTATTAATTTGTGTGTTCCAAATTCGTTTATTATAATTATATAATTTGTACATTTGTTCCTCAAATAAATCCTCTTCGTTAAATTCTACAATAATATTATCAAAATGTCCGCCATTTTTATTCAAAATATATGGTATGCTTATAGAAATTGAACCCACTGTAGGTGTCTACCCAACGTCCCAACGAGACCATCGTTCATGTAGTCGAACTATCCTTCTTTCAAGGCTCAAATGAAGTTGTGTAGTTATTAATTGAATAGTTACCGTACCACAACATACCATATTTATAATC